GGGGTTATTAGCAAAGATGTCCTGAGCTGTCAATATCAAAGATGTCAGCTTTGTGTAACTATGTTTCTGCAGTCCCTTGTGGAATGTAAGAAATGTGATTTTCTTTTCTCTGACTAATGTTATGTGTGGTTGTTGATTGTGCTCTTTATCAGAAGTCCCTGCCTAGGTTTTGAATGAAGAAGAATAAGACAGACACTGGGAGGTATCCTCCCCCAGTGTGGTTGCATACAGAATTTTTCAGAGATAAACCAGTGTAAAAATCAATAAAAGATGTTGACACTTGAATACCAAGAGAAATTGACAGTTGTTTCTTTAATTGATTTCCTATTGGAAAGTGACACTAATTCAAATCTAAGAATAATTGTAGAAACTTCTATTGACAAAATTGCTCTGCATTGTTTTTTCTTTGGCCTATGCTGGCTTCACACTGGTGAGGATATGGATGAACCAACCTCTATATATTTGAAAGCTATCATATGCTTATGAATTGATTATGTACAAATATTTGAACGAAACTCTTCATTCTTAGGAGCACATCTTGAATGAGTTGGCAAAATGGAACATAACGCAATCAGATAATCTTTTTCAATATTCATAGGAATTGGAAAATGAGCAGGTCTTGCTGTTCAAAGTGATTTGAAACTATGTACTTTTTATCATGAAGTGGATATGTCCACCATTTAGTATTAGTTTTTCTACTGCCTTTTGTCTATATGTCTTATACATAGAGTTTATTTTTTTGTCCTTTTTGATGCATGGCAACATAATTGCAGCTTTTAGTGTCTAGTAAGTTGATTTTATAGGTTGATGACTTATTGCTTAAGTCAAAACCTACATTGCTCCCAAAACATGCTAATATCTAAAAGTGATCTAAAGAATTGCATAGCTTTTAAGGTATAGGCTGCCATTAAAAGTGTTAGGGAAGAGGGCCCATTCTACAAAGCTCATTATTTAAAAATAGAAAAAGAAATTGATTTGTGCCTTAAGGTATAGAAATTGTGCAAGTACTTTAACATGAAAATGGGCACTGGGGGAAGTCAGCCATCTGTCTAGTCATCATTTAGATGGCCTGTTCAAGTATTTTACAGCTTGATGACTTTTAAAATTTAAGCTGAAAAAGTTAAGTCGCACTTGAACATGTGAGGTATCAATTTTGATATGAAGTGAATGCAGGGAAGTAGCCAAAGATCGCACTTAATATTTTTATTTTAAAAATTTGTTTTAAAAAAAATTCAAATAAATTTTATTTTTGAAATTAAGGACCTAAGCCATTTGGATAAGAATGTTTTATCTTATTTATTAATAACAGTCTACAAACCCTGTAAATCATATTTATATAGAGCATAAAGATGTGAAATTCCTCCCTCCTCCATAAAGAATAGTAATAACAAAGAAAAGTTTAGATGATGAAGAAAGACTAATTAAAAACAAAACAATTCAATTGAGTTCTTAAGATTGTGGACATTGTTAGGGAATCTCTCAAACGTGCCATGGCTGCAGCATAGCACATCCATACCACCACTAACACAATCGCCATGAGGGTCTCCTCCAGCTGACTTGTCTCAACTAACACAATCACCATGACTGTCTCCCCCTAGTTAACTGGTCACAACTAATATGAGCAGTTTTATTAATGTCTCTCTTAGCTTGCTTGAACACTTAAAATATTTTTCAGTTCGTGCTGAGTAATGTATGCCTTAACCTCCAGTTTCTTAGAATATTTTTTAATAAAAAATCGCTCTGACTAAGATTCTTGTCTAGCCTCTTGAATGAATATTTGATCTTCAGCATGAGAATTTCAATTGATCTTTCATATATTGATTTTATGTAAGTATTTTGATTAGTCAGTAAAATGTATTTTTCTCTTTCCAATTTTGTATTCATATTTCTACTAAGCACAACTGATGTACATTGATATTTTCTTCTAAAAAGATTAGCACAAGTATTGCCAAGGAAGTGTTCTGCGGGTTCAATTAACTTCCCAGAATAAAAGCGAAAATGGTTCCTCAACTATAGTACAATGCCACTACTTACTTTTGTCCTGCCTGCTCTGTACAGTGGAACCCCATAGGACTTTCTGCAAATCCAGACCTGGAATGTGACATGATAATAAAAATTCTGGACAAAAGCACCTCTAGAGCTTGCTATTTGCCTTAATCATTCTGTTCCTTGACTGTAGTCTATTGATTGTTCACAATCAGATTCAGTTATTTATAAGTATGTATTCATATTTAATGTGATTATCTTAAGAGTCAATTGGTATGTGCAAATTAAGCAGCTTTTCTTGATTCTTGCCTATCCCACTGCAACTCACTGTGGGAGAAATAAAGGGAAACTGTGTGTTTGAATTTGAAAAATAAGGAAAAATTATAATACTATAATAGATGAATTAGTAGGTTCATAGTGATACATTTTATGGGGTAGGGGTTTAATATAAAAAATGGCTCGGAAAATATTATTAGATGTAGCATAAAAACACTTAAAGAGAATGTAAACTTAGCAAGGTTTTAGGCATGTGATATATTTATCATAGCCTGCAAGGTGATTGATGCCACTTTTAAAGCAATAATCTTTTCACTACAAGTATTTTCTGCTGTGGTTTGACTGTGGGTGGATAATTTGTTTCTTACCAAATCACCTTTTTCAATAAAATGAAATTTGTCATATGAATATATTTGCCCCAAAATGAAAGGCAACATGTTTTGTGCCACTATGGTTGAAATGTTTGAACTGCTGGGCAATTTATACTAAGTTTATCCTTTAGTAGCAAAGACGTTTTGAAAACCCAACACCGTGAATTGGTGATTTTTTTTTTTTTGGGCCAAACCAGACAATTTCCATATATTTTTCATAATTGTAGATCTAAGTTTGAACTGAGTATTGCATATAGCTGAGTATTGTAAGAAAATCATGAGAATATCAAGTGCCTGCTTCGTATGCACACAGAGAGACAACCTTTTGAAATTAACTTGAGACCAATAAAAGTATCTTCAAAACCATTTCACCCATTTATGGTGGAATTTAGGCCCCATTCCATACCTAGATCAATCTAGCAGGATCGACCCATCTCCAAGGGGTTTCTTGCTAAATAGCATTCAGTTTAAGTTGCTTGGATGTCTGGCACGCCTACTGAATCTGCTAAATTACCCCTTAAGAGCTTCAGTAGGTGTGCCAGACATCAGAGCTGTTTAAGCTAAATGCAATTTAAGCCCCCGTCACACTTATTCGGAATCAGCAGGAATCGAGCAGAACCAGCTGGAATGACTAAATTTAAAAATTCGTACTACATTCGGGAAGAAATTTCAAATTGACCTAAATTCTTGTACAGTAAGAATGCCGTTGGAATACTCAGAATGAGCTTGAATCCGCCTGGAATGATTCGTGCACATTTAGGCTGTATAAGTTCTCAAATGCAGCTCGAATGTAGTTGGAAAACTAGGAATATCAATAATGCTGTCACAATGCATTCAGAATATTTAGAATACACTTCCAATGCCGTACGAGTGTAGTTCGATTGCTGGTTGAAGTAGGACCGAAATGCATTCGAGTTGCATTTTGGCTCTTTCTAGCAGGATTTAAAGTGTCTTGCCATTTCAGTTCTCCCTCGAATGTGATCAGAATGTTTCGAATGCTGTCGGAATATGCGAATATTTAGAATGCAGTCATAGTGCAGTTATAATACTATTCAAATGCCATTCGATAGTTTTCCACTTGGAATGCACTTCGAAAGTTTTTAAAATGAGCAAAACATTTGGGCTGGTCACAAGAATGGGGAAAAATATTTGGAATGCACTTGGAATTGTTAGAATGCTCTTCGAATATCCAGGAACGCACAAAGAATTGTCTTTCCGACAGCATTCGTGCTCATTCCACCTCTAGTGTGACGGGGGCATTAGCAAGAAACCCCTTGGAGAAGGGTCCATCCTGCTTGATCAATCTAGGTATGGGAACGGGGTCTTAGAATCCAACTTGCCCTGTTTAAATAGTACAGAAAAGAATAAATCAGTCACACCTTATTATGTGTTTGCTTTCTAAAATGATCTTACGTTAAAAGATTAAAATCAGTTTATTGCAGTGCCACATTACTGGTGAATGTTATTGTAAATGTAGCAACTTTTAAGAGAATCGAGGAGTTAATTAACTGTATCGCCTCTGCCTTGGTAATGGAGAATGATTAGTTGTTTTAACATGAAAATATTTGGATTAAGCAGATAATGGGGGCCACTGTAGACTTAAAATTAGACACAAAATCTGGTAACATGGGGCTTCACTGAGGTTGGGGCAAATAAAGTGGCTTTAATTATTTAAGTGAACTGTAATTCATTTTTTCCACTGAAAACAGAAGCCAGTCATCTGTGCAGTCAGTTTTTGCTATTGCTTGTTTCAGCTCAATTCTTTGGAGTGCCAAGTGACATCCAGAAGCACAGTTTCTAAATATGTTATATTGATTTTGGCAAAGAACACCTGCAAATGAATAGTTTGAGTTGGAATACATGTTATTAAATCACACACACAAACACTAACCGACACCCTGTTGTTAGATATCTTAGTTCCAGTATAAAAGGCTGGTGCCAATTAGGAAAAAATAACAATGGATTTATCGCAATAGGTCTCTTTGAAAAAAACTGCAGTGCTTGGTTGATATTTGATGGGCACCTTCAAAAATGCTTATTTATTAACAAGAAAAATAATTGAATATATATGTATATTTTTTTTCTCATTGGGGGAAATATACTTTAAGGACTATGTCCTTATTTGCTACTCTTATCAGTCATTTTTTCAAATATAAACTCATTAGTTTACTATACCTTGAAGCCCATCAGTCCTCATTTGTCATAGCTGATGGTTAATGCAGGCAGTCAATGTGTGTCACTGAAAACTGGAGTGCTATCCCTTCAGACATTACAATCAATAATCAACAACAGTATGTACACTCTTTCGAGTTCCAAGCTCTTGGGACATATTGTTTGAAGTTCTGGTGGAACATGCATGCCAATAACCCAATTATTGACTTTCTTTTATTCCTGTTGGAGTGTCTCCTGGTGTGAGAGTGGTGTAAGTGCTAAATGGAAAGCAGTTCATTGAAAAGTTTCTCACTGAAAGGGCTGTTCCAGGCCAGACCACAGTGATAGCATTGTCCCTTTGGATGATAGTAATACATGTAGTCTTGATGTACCACTGAGGGATGTGTCTTTTTTCCAATGAACCAGTGATCATAGTGAGAGAGAGCAGTGAGATCAAACACTTCATTATTGGGGCACATTTGTGTTGATTTTAACAGCAGGGCAGCTTTGTATTGAACGGTGCTGGTGCAGATACCATGTGGGGCCTGTAGGGCTATTCAGAAGCATTGGGGAAATCAATTATTGATTTACTATAGGAGCTGTTGTTTCAGTGAATAATTAATGCAAGAATTGAGCTCTAAAGTATGAAGAGGCTGATCATGCACTACATGCTACTCCATTCATCTATTCAGCAGCACAAGTGTTTTTGCTGATTTGTTGGGGCAGGGAGTCAGTAATGGAGAGTTGACACATGGACACTATTTACATTAAAGGAGGAATACGCCAAGTAGAACTGGAAACTTTTTAGCAATCTTGCAAGGATTTACCAAAGCTGAAATCAGTCACTTGGTGCTACTATTCTCCAACGACATGAAAATTCAATTCAGTGACTAGTGATCATTAACATTGTACACAAACTCATTTCATGAAAAATTGATTGAAGTTGTAGCTTACCGTTGTACCAAGTCATTAAGTTGTGAGGACATAGGTTGGGTAGGAGTCAATTACACCACCTTCCACCTAGCTGCCTTGAATAGAGACCAGCACCATGTTTGGTATAGGAGGGGGTAATGAAGAGGAGGAGAAGGCTAAAGGGGGGCCAGAGGGAGAACCATTGGATCCAGAGGCATCTGAAGGAGAGGTTCTTATGAAACAAATAGATGATGCAACAAATGAGGTACTTTTTATTTCCTTTTGATTTTTGTTTAAAACTATTAAGATGATGTTTGATATTAGATAATTTGCAACGCGTTTGAAACACTATTTAGATATTATACAAGTTAGACGTATTATTATGTTATTGGTCATTATTATTATTTTAATTAAAGAAATATAATATTTAATTAAATCAATCGATATTGGTTAAGCTTCAAATTTTCAATTTTGTAACTGTCTCTGAGTTATAAAGATTTGAAAGATATGGTAGTAGACTTGTCTAAAATTGTTAGAAATGGAACAACTCAATATAATAAAGAAAACCAATAATTTCATTTCTAATCAGTAGAGGACGATCAATATACACAGCCCAACTATTATGGACTGAACCACTTAAGTGAATTATCATGGTCATTCTTCTTACATTTAGTGGTATCATCTGTTTTTACTTGTAGAACTGCTTTTTTATGGCTCTCTTTTGTCTGTGAGCTGTCATATATGCCAGTATGAACTGCTGCTTGATTATGATTGAATGGTATTGATGGCTAGGAATAGTTAAACAACTCAATATCAGTCTATTGCCCAGTAGCAATAAAAACTATATATCAATTTTAAAAAGTTATGATTGAGTAAAGAGAAACAGAAGTTGAACATATATTATTCAACTTTAAAATGTCTTCAAAATGCTGGAATGTGATGTTACCTATTATGTATGCTTTCATAATTTAAAGGAACAACACAACAAGTATCATTGGTTCAGCATACACCAGCATGGAAATTATCTGGGATATGTTTATATAGTAAAAGTGACCTGTAGTTTTATCAAATCTGGGTTGATTTATTTCTCTGATATCACACATTCCCATGAGGGCAACCTCTGTTGGAACTGATATATATGGAGAGAATTATTTTACATAGACCACTGATCAATACTTGTTGACAAAAATGAACCAGAGAGAAAATTACTAGATGTGAAGTGAGCACAGGCTGTCCTCGGTGGCCATTAGAAACTAGTAGTTTCATTAAATGAATGACAGAAAAGCAAAACGACATCGACAACAACAACAACAACAACAACAACAATAATAATAATGGTAGCAGTAAAACAAATGCTGATATAAATAACTGTAATAATATGAGAGAAATAATGTCAACCCTTCACCACTTCAGTGCATTGTATTTAACTCAATCAGAACACCAACGATAGAAAAACAAAAACATTTGGAAATGATTTGTCAATAGTGACCAGTGGAATGTTACCAGAAATCCTGACAGCCAACTCCATATTTCAACTTCAAGTCCTAGACTGATTCATGATTAATTATTGGATTGATGTGGGCACAGTGGTTTATTTATATCATCATTATTTTGTGCTTTATGAAATTTTAATAATTCGGCCATTCCATTTTACTTTTGACTAGAAAATGAAGAATGTTACATGAAAATTAAAGTTTTTTCCTGTTGGTCTGAAATTTATTATTTGTTATGATAAAAATCATGGTCTGTGTGAGACAACTTTTACTGATTTTTTTTCTGAGTTCAGAGGAAAGAGATTTGCTAGCAAACAGGTAGTAGTTAACTGAGGCTATGTTAGACAGGAGCTAGACACATGGGTTGAAACAGTTGTACCAAAAGTCAGCAGAGGTGGAAAATTTATATATAGGTAAACATGACCACATATTCTTGTTGTTCCTAATTTTCTTGAACTAAAACCTATGGCCATGAATACCCTCTGTTTGTTCTTGAAAGCTGAAGAAAATCTTTACTGGCTGCAATTGTTCAATGCTGGGTACTTGAACAGGCACCAGGGGATGCTTTCACAAAAGAAATTCTGATGAGAAGTTTGTCTTAACTTCAAGATGGAAAAGTACATTTGAATGAGAAAACTATGCTACTTACAGAAAATAAGCAATTACTAATGCTTCACAGATTATTACTTTATATATTGGATTACAAAAATAGAATCATGCTGATGTGGTCATTGAAGCCTTTTGGTACCTACTGAGATTTTTTTTTTTTTTTGCTAAATATTGTTGGGTTATTTTTAAAATGTAGGTCATGAATGATACTTTTCCTCCATAACTTGGCCTTTGCAGCACTGGCATACATGTAGTTCTATTCATCACTTTTAGATATAAGGAGCAATGATGTCTGGTCTCTTGTGATTTCAGAAAGAATTTTCAGATACTGTTAAATGGTGCCTAAGTAAAAAAAAAAAAAAAAAAAAAAAACAAACATTATGGAGTGAAACTGTCATGAAAATAGAGGTATTAGTATTTATAACAAACTAGCATTGGATTTTAAAGCAAGGTATAATTTTTCTATAATTTTTTTAATGTTATCATCTCTCTTACTCTTATTATAAGACTGAGCAAGCCACATTTACCTCCGTTGCTATGGAATCTCTAAATGTGCATTGATAGTGAAAGTAGAAGAGCCAGTTTTCCTGGTGCAATAAAAATGATGAAGTCATGCGTGGCACCCATTCATGCAAATAAATAATCACTCTACTTTAAACCCTGTCTAAGTTGGGATTTCACCAATGTGTACTTCTGTTAATTGTAAACATCAGGAACCTATGGCATATTGCAGGGTTGGTTGTCACAGGAGTTTTAATGACTCTGGGGAATATTTTCCCCATTTGTGATACAAGTTTATCGCGAACTTGCATTTGTGTTATAGCTTTTGGTCAGCTTGTAGCAATGCTGTCTGCTTTTCTCATTAGTACACCTACTAGTGTTTATTTTTATCACGTCTGCTGTGTTTTCCTTAAATTGATTCAATAGCAAACTGCCCCAGTCTCTTTTTTTACCTCCAGAGAGTTAAGTGTAACATTGATTTGGCTGCAGCAGGCCAACAATAATATAGAGTCAGAAATATTACTAAGTTCAAAATTAGAAAAAGGCATGGTTATAATCATTAATGCTTAAAAATGTGGTTCAAAATGCATGCATTGGGAAATATTTATTATGCCATGGGTTAAGAAAATTCAATTAATTTGGAAATACAAGATGATTCATTTTTTGCAATTCTGAATCATGCAAGTGGAAAATGCAAAGTTTCTAGACTGCTGTCTTTCATAAAAGTTGTACAAAAACAAACATCCAATGAAGTTATGGAAATTTATAGGCAATATCATGTTACCCAGTTGTTTTCCAAAACCTTAACTGTATCTCTTCATTACAGATAGAAGATGTCTTTTCCACTAGACTAAAGTAGCTTAGCTGTAACTGACACCAAGATTGATCAATACTGTTCATAGTTATTACATTGAATGTGTTCTGCTTGGAATTCTGTAAACTCCATTATTGTCATGCTTACAGCTTAGGGGTACACAAGAAAGAATCTAATTCTATTTCTATTGATCTGTAACTGCCTTACAATCAATATTTGGCAGTAACTTGCAGACCAGGTCCTTTTCAGAGCTACTCAGGAATTGAATACTGTAAAGTTGAAATGAAATGTTGCATGTGTAGCTATAAATGGAATGCTGTGCAACTTTTAAGTTTAACTGATTCTGTCTTTTATTATTATTATTATTATTTTTTATTTATTTATTTATTTATTTTTTTTTTTTTTACACAGGAAATGCAGAACAATTCAGTCAAATCAATTGTATTCTGGAATAGAAAAGCCCATAGCTATAGAATGAACGTTTTTAACATGTTGATTTTGATTGCCTCGGTTGTGCACAAAGCAAATATTCATATCAGAACATTGTTTTAACTATATATGTAATTGATTTACTTATTATATGCAGTAAAATATCATAGAAGATACTGCTTTCAAGCAGGTTCAAATAATTCACAAGGCTGCTAACTGCATACAAAGATACAATAGATTCAGTGCAAACCACCATGAGGAGACATTGTTATTATTACAATGCCTCTATTTGCTACTTTCAATTGATTGCTAATCCATTAAAATATTAGGATGATTTTATAGCATTAAGCACTAAGCATTACGTAAATGCGGAACTCACACCAGGCTGGAGAATACTATAATTGGTGTTAGTAATGTAAGAAAGTCAGTATTGATTGTATTAAAGGAATGTTGACATATTTTTGTGAGGGTGTCAGTAGGCGTAAGGACATGATAATTACATAGTTAAATTTAGAACTTTATTGTTTTTACCACTATTATGAAGATGCTTACTCTGTCAAGTATTATTTGTATTCTGTGATTTTGTTGAAATTAGGTAAATTTGGTTAATGGATCTGTTGATGAAAGATGAGAACAGTGATGGAGGATTTAACCAAATTGGGTCTTGACAATATGCGGCACAAAGGTGGAAAGGGATAGGAGATAGATAAGTATGAATAGGGTGGGGGAGGGGGGTGTACCCTTCATTTTTCATGAAGAACTACAAATACTTATTATCTTACTTTTGTATCTTTTCAGTCCTTGGAAAGTACACGGCGGATGCTGTCACTATGTGAGGAGGTATGTCACAGCAGAAATTTTGGACACTTCAAACTAAAGTTATAGTCAGAATAATGGAGTCTTATAAATTTTGCTGTCTTTCAAACCAAAATTCAATGCAGCAGTTTTCATGAATGTCATCAAACTTCAAGCATGAGAGGGTAATTTTAATTTTCTTTACTTTGCTTTTTATTTGGAATCTCAAAAAATAGTATTTTGTTTTTATCTGAATACTGTTATGTACTTATGTATCTCTTTTTAATGAAGATGTTTTGAAAGTGACACTTTGAAGAAAATACATGAAAATAAGGTATTTTTGCAAATTTTGACAGATTACCCTAATAATCTTATAATTTAGACACATTGAAAATATCGTCTTGGGGATATTTGATGAGTACCACGACATCTTTTGGTGCCCTTTTATATCATCTTTGGGTACTTATGAGGGTGCGGCATCCACCAAACTGCACTTTCATATAATTTTTTTTTGAGTACATCAGGAAGTATTTAAAAGTGAATTGCATGGCTGATGTTAGCAACATAGTTCCTGTGGGCTGATATTCTCCTTGTCACTAGGGATGTTTTGTACATTTTTTTGGTTTTTGTTCGACATGTATGTGTACAGTACTAAAAAGTGTGCTTGTATTTTTCCCTGCTGCGGTTGGGTGACAGAGTAAGGATGCTGGTATTCGAACACTTGTTATGCTGGACGAGCAGGGAGGTAAGACTGATCATCCGTCCAGGACCCACCAGCCATAGATGTGACCTGCGCACCTGAATGTTAATAGATTAGCTAGCGCCTGTAGTTTCTAGACCAAAGAAGGTATTTGCTGATCAGAAAATTGATTTTATGAAAATTAAAGGGAGTGGGTGGGTGGGGGGCTTTAAAAACATAATAGTGACATTTTGAGCAGAGGTTAAGTTTGAGAAAATCACCAAATACCTTCTCCAACCCTTTTGTTTTTGTATTGTTTGTTTATGTGAGCATGTGTATTTTAATAGATATATTATATTATTTCTCTAACAAACTTTATTTGAACACAGTATTTCTACACTTTCTGATTGTTTGTGTTTACTACCAGAGCCAAGATGTGGGTATTAAAACACTGGTAATGCTGGATGAACAGGGCGGTAAGATGTTTGCACCAATACTAACTCTGTATATCTATTTATCTATGTAATTATATATTGCATTACTGTCGGCACGGCACTGGTAGCACATTGGTATTTCCTTCTGGTATGGGCAATGGTTCGATTGGAGCTTGTACACATTTGTTAAGTCTGACTAAAGTACACCACACTGAAGAAGACCCAAAGCACCTTTCCACCAGGTTAATCACAGCGGCTTGCACTTCTTATTCATATATACAGACACAGTGTGCCTGGATATTTGGCTATGTTGCTGTCTGTCTCTCTATCTTGTCATACCATCTCTCTTCTTTAAGTCTTAAGTCTTAAATTAAGTTATACTGTTCTTTTTAATTATTTTTGATTCAGTTTTATTATTTTTACAAAATACCTTAGAAGCATCATATATACTTGATGCCATGTATCAATACAAGCAGCCTTAATTAATATATTTAAATTACCCCTTTTCCTTTTTTTTTTTTTTTTTTTTTTTTTAATGATGTACAAACACATTTGGTGTCTGTAAATATGTCTAGTTTATCTTATTACTAAAGATCATATCTTTTTAGTCTCCAAGATTAATTTTTGTTGTCAAACATCCTGGAATGCTTTTTTATTCAAATACAATTAAATTATGGTGACAAGTAATTATTGAAAAAAGCACATATATGTTTCTGTCATGGTATTTGTCTAGTTATGGCTACATTAGCATTATATTATTATATGCCACACTTCAAAATTATTTGTAGGGTTTGTCACAAGACCATACATATCGGACTCAGTTTTGTTGTCTTTAATCTTCTTATTCTGTTTGTGGCCTGTGCTTCTATCATGTGAAACCACTAAAACATTGATTTTAATACCCCTGCTCCAAAATTGCAATTATATACTAAATGGTTTAAAGGCACATACTCTGCAAAATACTCACTTACCTATTAGTAAGTGATACATAAATTGAGTTCCTAATTGCATGCTCATCTCATTATTCTCCCCCCATTTTTTTTCACCACTTTTTATCCTTCATATTCTGCAATTTATGCATAGTCAGGTAGATGGTTGCAGTGCATGAGAATTCCCTGAGTATGGTTGAACAGTTTCATAAAAATTATGATTTGTTCTTCAACATGAAATATGTTAGATAATGATTACAAAGTAATGATGTCCAAAGTGCAAGAAATGAGTACCTTTCATCCACCTCCCACTTACTGAATACTGTAGTTCAGGCTTGTATTAGGGATATAATGTTCAGGTCATGTAGTCTCTGGAAGACTATGTTATATAAAGTAGAAATCAGCAGAGTTGTTGGTGTTTCTATAACTCTTAGGCACAAGATGCTGCACTCATTGGTTTGGTTTCTATGGATGGTCAGGGGGGTAAGTTCAGGGGCAAAGAGGCTACTGACACCCTAACACTGTTAAAACATGTATTTGAGTTATATAACATTGTTGAAAAGACACCTGAGCTGAAAAAAAGTATTTCTTAATATTTACTCATTAAAACAAGTTATGGGGGTTTGAAAGCTATTTTCTGAAATCAAACACCTAAGGTGGGTTGAGACTTTAAGATTTTTGAAAGAATTTGAACTACCTGTTTGCCAATAGTCAAACAAAGCTGTCATGGAACAGATTAAATTACAAAATATTAAGAATTATTTTGAGTGTCAAAAAATTCTATTTCCCAGTTTTATTTTTATCTGTTTATTGCTTACCAACAACTGGTTTACTTTACCAGTTGATTCTAATGTCAGTTTTGTCTAAAAAGTTTGTTATATTCTAACAAAGGTTTTACCAAGCTGTTCATGCAGATGTTGTCAAAGTATAAAAGATTCATGAAAGATAAATTTTGCAAGCTAATAAAAAAGTTTTATTTCTGTTGCATTATATAAATATAAATGTGGTTGTTTTGTTTGGATATTTTGCTCAACCTGCTTGTGCTTTGTACATGCTTTATCTTTACGTGACCTTTGATTAATCATTTGTACTGGACATTCTTTTCTATAATCACTTTACATGTTTTAATGCTTGTCTGGATGGGGTTTTTAATCTGTGATGAAATATTGTTCTTAAAATGTAATGATTTTTTCTTAATAAGTTATAACACAAGCCTTCTGTTATTGAAGTTAATTTTGCACTTGAATTTGTGTGAAAAGGCCTCCCTTGAGGATTATTTTAATTTAAACAAATGTAAATTTTGAATTGAATAAAATCATGCATTTTTTCAGACATTCCTTTGGTTTAATTATATACAATACTGTAGGTGCCATCTTGTACATTTATTTACCTTTTTTTGGTTGACCATCAGGTGTATTTAAAAAGTTTTGAGAGCTATATGGCAGTTATGAACCCAAAATATATTGCACAGTACATGAATAAAGAGACTCTTATTTGCATTGAACCCTGCTTTCAGAACAACTGGATAAGATTGAGGAGGGTATGGATGAGATCAACCGTGACATGAAAGAAGCAGAGCAGAATTTAGAGGGGCTGGAGAAATGCTGCGGACTGTGTGTGCTTCCTTGGAAAAAGTAATTATAAAAGACTGAGCTATTGTTATTGTGTTTTGTTATTTTTAACATGTGTTGAACTACTGTGTTATTTAGTGAAGTGGACCTCTGGAAAGCAATTTTTCCATTCAAATTTGCTGTAGTTATCTGAAGGGCTAAAATACAGATGGAGTGTGATATTGAAATTTTCAAAAATCAGTGTTCATTTCCCAGTTTTTCTGCCTTGTTTTAGTTTGAGAATTCCTTTCCCTGTATCAAAGTGTCAACTTTCACATATATTTTACATAATGATTTTATTTTGTACACTTGTTATCTGAACCAATGATGTGCTGTTTTATTTAGAATCCATTGGTTGTTATAGCTGCAGTTGTAATGTAGGCACAGGCCTGTACTAGTTGTGGTGCAGACAAGTTTGTAAACAAGTTTTTGAGCACTGTTGAGGGAAACAGTACCAATAAAAGATTCATTCATGTTAAATTTTCAGCTTCCTAGAATGAATGATTTTGTCATTGAATTGAATTTTTACTCTAGACTTTCAGTTAAAACAAATAAATAAGGAAATAAAGTGGAAATATTTTAATGAAATACTTATATATACTTAATGAGCATTTATGATTCTTTTCCAGAACTAAAAGCTTTGAGAAGGGAGGGGATTACAATGCCACATGGAAAGCATCTGAAGATGGCCAGGTGAACTCCAATGGTCCCAGAGTCCAGGCCCCTGGAGAGCAAGTCATGATTGGTGGCAACTATGTCACAAGGTAAGAAGATACAGTGATCACACAGCTGTGAAATGAAAGCTGATATGCTGATTTCTGTTGGCTGTGGTCTGTGAAGAGCAGTTTTTGATTATTCAGGCAGAAATATTTCATTTACTGAAACCATTTATGCATATTGGTTTCATATGTATCTATGAGAAATATTGTCGGTCTTAAAATATAACTGTATGAGCTATTATTCTGTTATTCTATGTGGCACTGGTTTGTAAGTTTATTACTGGAACAGGCTGTCTCAGTTAGAAAGCATGTACTGTTTGTAACAAAATTACTGAATTTTGTCGTGCAATTATTTGCAAGATTTCTTATAAGCCACTGCAGGTTTTTAAACAAAATTGTGGAGTATTTTTTATACACAATTGACCTATATACTGTTTGTCAGTAAAAGCTTATTTTGTAACAAGATGCTGAGGAAGTTTGAGCTTTGGGCTAAGTTAACTTTTAAGATTTCTTGGAGATATTTTTATAGTGTCATTACTATGTCTTTAGGTTTCCTCTCTCCTGCTCTAAATTATGGTGAAGGACATTTTGTAGGGCATAATATTTTTAACATTACAATTACGTTGTTATGAATTGTTTATCTTTAATTTCCTTTATATTATTCATAAAGTTAACTCATCCTCAAATGTCAAAGTTATTCTCCAACTGGTCTTGATTCAAAATGAGGATGTTGTAAAATGAGTTACTGCTGTCATTTTCTAAGATATGACTCTGAATGAGGTAAAAAGGAGTGGGAAGAATGTAGAATAAGATTATCAGATATTGATTGCTTGATTTGTTTCTGGTAGTATTTAAAGTATGACGTTCAGAAAAATCTGAGCTGCTGCGTGCATAGATTGATTTACATCAGCAGTGTTGAGTGTAGGTGTATAGATCGTGGTGTGAAATGCCAGTTCCATTTGTTCTCATCAGGCTGAACTTCCTATTGCAGGCTACAGTTACAACCACTGTTCTTTCACACAGGGACAGCTGCAGTCAGTACAGTACCTTGACTAGATTTACATCCATGTTAAAGTGTTTCAGTCCACAGGCTTGTGTTTGAGAGATAACAGTCTCTGGGAAATGCACTCTGGATTAGATCAATAATCCATCTGCAATGCAATGATAGTGTGTGATGGATGGGACCTGTTTCTACATTTACATCTGCCCTTTTGGGGACGTTGCTATAACAAAAATAATATGACTAATAGAAAACCTCTTATGTAGAACTCAGATAACCAAACTACGCTACTGAACTGCTGAGAAATATTTGTATGAACAAATTATGATTGATCTGCATGGTATTGACTGTAATACACACATAGGTTTTTACAGACATAAAAATCAACTTGATATGACTGAAATCCATTCTTGATAAGTAATTTTTTTTATTTTTCCCTTATTAAGGGGCAGAAGTCTATTTATGGTAATATATACATGGTTTTGATCTTGAGGGCCATTTAAAGGATTTTTGTTGACTTGAATGATCTGAACAAATGAAATATCTCCCCACGCTAAATCCCATTTAAGGAAACAAGTATTCTAGGTTTTGCTAGACAATAGCGAGATGGGTATGCTTTGAAATGATGGAAGACCTAAAACAATCTGTACAAAATTAAATGCTTTTTTTTTAAAGGCTTGATACATTTCCTTGGTTCAATACATGACCTAAGAGTTTTGTGAAGTCAACTTCAAGTTTCTTGCTTCTTTGCCTTCTAATGTACTAGTAATATGCTTAAAATTAAACAAGTTCCAATGGGGACTTGTCAACCAGTCTGGCTGGCAAACATTTTAACCTTTTTGCTCTTGTCTGTTTTGATATTGATACTGTTCCCATGGGCAGGGATGTCCAAAGTAGTTCTTTTTCAGTGGAGGTTTTATCTTAAGTTCAGTACCCTACAGTAGTGGTGTGTGGTTCTGTAACATTCTTAAGAAAAATATAAATGGATTGTACAAGTAAAAATACTTCCTCTGATTTGGCAAGGGGGTAATGGATGGCTACAGAAGGGCTGCATGCCAACTCATACATAGTCATCGGCAATTTTGATCTTCTATTTGGCTTCATGTAAAGTATCTAATACATTAGCATTTTAAACACTTATATGTGTATAGATAAATGATTCAAGCTGAAGAACAGTGTAATGGGGAGTTATATAGTAGTGTTTGAGTTCTACTATATACCTAATTTAAGTAACTTTTTGAGTTCACGGTCTTCTGCTGTAATAAAGCATGGAGGATACAGCTGGTAACTTGTATGTAAGAGCTCCTATCAATAAGAATGAAATTGGGAGAAATTAATTAAAGAAGTAAAACATTTCCAAATCACAACTTGAAATCAATTTTCCATTAAATGTACTGTACCATGCATTTAAGCTTATTAGATTTAGTTTGATTTGTCTATGGCATTATTTTATCCACACAATCATACAAATCCTCTTTTATTTTATGTATTTAGAATAACCAAAGATGCAAGAGAGGATGAGATGGAACAGAACATCTCAGAGGTTGCAGGCATGATTGGTAACCTGAAGAACATGGCCTATGATATGGGCAATGAAATTGACAACCAGAACAGACAGGTGGACAGAATCAATCAGAAGGTGAGGGTCTTTAAAATTCTTTTCAAGATTTTATTCTCATCCATGGTTGATACCTCACAGAAGAATGAGACATGGTTTGTCATTTGTTTTGGAATTAATTAATTTTTAATACTTTTTAATAATTTCAATAAGATTTGAAAAAAGAGAACTGAGTTATGCTATGAAAATTAAAAGTTGATTTTAATATCACCTATCCCAGATATTTTGTTTCAGTAATTTGTTGGTCTTCTGTAAACTTTCCTTAGCACCAGTATGTGGGCTTTGTGAATTATGTTTAAAATACTGTGTCTAGAAATTTACTAGATACAATTTATTTGTCATAATTCATTTATAGGTTTCCGCATGTTTAACATATTCTATCAAAATTGTTAACAACAGATTCATGATAATGAATAATGGCATTTCTGTTTCTCATAGCTTTGTTATCCACAGGGGAACATTAGTTTATGGTTCCTGTCTTCATTGATTGAGTAAAGATACCTCTGCTTGACTTGATATTTGTACTGCATTAGTGCAGTGCTGGTCAAAGCACTTGATTAATGGCGTGTTTATGTTTGATATTTATCGACTTAAAGTGTGACAGCAGATGATGATTAAATTATTTTGCCTAATAATTTCATAATAATTGGCTGAGACGTTTTTTGTTGCATCTGTTGCTGTGATATTTGTGCTTCGGATTGAAGTAGGCATTTAAAGATTACACTATATCATACAGTGTTGAAACAGATTTGATTATAGTGAAGTCTGAGTCATGTAAGTCAGTTGGCAATACATCAGTGGCAACAAAAAATAAAACACCTAAATTAAATTATTGCATATCTCTTGTGTCGAAAGTTAATTTTGGATTCATCTTCCCATCAGAAAAAATATGTATTCCAAATTGGTTTTCTCCAGAGACTTAGATAACCTTAAATACTCCCAGTTAATCATATTTTGTAGGTCCTGTGAATAGAATAATATTCTATATATAATAATTTTAGAATAAAATGATCCAGACATAATGCCCAGCATGCCATATACAATCTTATTTATCAACCTTACCCTGGGCTCACACTTCACTTAATGACCTGTAGGCTCATTGGTCATACATTTATGATTTTTAAACAGGTAAATTATGTTTATTGTGACATGTTTAACCAGAGAATGTTATTGTTGTTAACTTGTTATTGTTCTGGAATTTGTATCATTATATCTCTTAAAAAGAAATGTTAATTTAGTTGAGGGTCAAGAAATCCGGTCACAGCTGCCGTAATAAAAACCTCTGTTTTCCTTGTTATTTTAGGCCACCTCAAATGAAGTCCGTATCAATGAAGCAAACAAGAGGGCTAACAAACTTCTTTAGTCATGATGACTGGTGGAATTCTCTTATATGCAGGTTCAGAAATAAACTGCAGAAGAGATTGCAATCAGGATGTGTGATCGCTCTTTAATTTCATAGTGTGCAGTAAGAACTGCACCAAGAAAGCTTGCATTCATTATTTCATCAAATAATTTCTTCTTGTTTGCAGCAATTTGCAGCTTTATTTCATTATTAATTTAAAGTTTTGTTGCATGATTTCAGTTTAACAGAGAATGAAACTTTTTTTGTTTAGGTTATTTTTCACACTATGTGGAGTTTTGCCCAGGCATAATGCCCATGATTGAGGGCAATGTACGTGTTATAGGTAGATGTTACTAGTAGTTAGACCATTGCACATCTTTCTTGGGTCCTATTTTTTAGGCCACCTCAAATGAAGTGCGTATCAATGAAGCCAACAAGAGGGCTAACAAACTTCTTGGTTAGTCATGATGAATGGTGGAGTTCTCTTCATGCAGGTTCACAATGACTATTTACACAATAGAGACAATAACACCATGGATACATTGAAGCAGCAACAGCATTCATTTTGTTTGCAGCAAGAGTTGCTTGTGACTAACATTTCAAGTTCCATTGGAACATTTCCATTGTGCTTTACAATGGAGGAGGAAGGAGGGGAAGTGGCAGCATCAGCATTGTCTGTCAAAAATCATTATTTGCAACTTACAACATTTTTCTTTCATAGCATCTTTTTATAGTTTAGTCATTTTTAGTGGTCTTTCTTAGTCACCATGGGACTGCATTATGGAAAGATTGCAGCTTTTCGGCGATGGAATTCTATCTCTTATTTGCAGCAGTTGTTGCTTGTTTTGCATTTTCTGTCCTGTTTTATTGTTTTTCTTTTTATTTACATGATACTGTTAAGTCATGAAGATAGCCATCTAAATAGAATTCTCATTTCCTGGTTTGCAGTGGCATGTTCTGCAATTTTTTTAGTTTGATTATTGCATTGCACATCTTTATTTGGGTGCTGTTTTTTCAGGCCACCTCTAATGAAGTGCGTATCAATGAGGCCAACAAGAGGGCTAACAAACTTCTCAAAAACTAGTCCATCATCACTGTGCTGCAGGCTTGCAAGTCTGGACCCCCACAGTCTCCATGATCAGTTTTGATATTCTGGTAGTATTCAAATTATGTAATTATATACCACAATGGACAATCTCAAATTGTTAAATTAGGTGATGTGAACTAAACATATTTCAATAATCCAAAGGAGAGGGACTGCTATTTCAAATTTACTTTGTGTATTAAAGCTATGACTGATGTGTTGACTGTCCTCAAATAAAAAAAAAGTTTTTTTCTTTGTCAAAGGTTGAATAAACACTAAAACATGCTTTCTTAGATGAATGGGATGGAGGAATTTTTCACAGTATTGATGTGAAGTTCAAAGGCATCCAAATATATTTTCCTTTTACAAAGTGATCATGACATGGCTTCTGGAACTTTGTGCAATTCTTTTAGGGAGATTAGATTAAGGATATATACGAATATGTGTGTATGTATGTGTATTTCAAAAAAAAAAAAAAAATTAAAAAATCATATTAAAAGTTTTAGCCTCTATAGGCTCTTTCAAGCTATTCAGTTCAAAAATATTTTCATGAACATTTTTATTATTCATTGGTAAAATAATCAAACAATTCCATCTGGTAACTCACTTATTGCATGCTTGTGTATTTCTTTCTTCATTTTTAACATGCTTTTCACAAAGTCTGTCTGAATTTCATATTGTTGAATTTTGTTTCTGTTTTGTTACTTCAGTTACATTTAATTTGCTCAAAGTAATAAATGCTGGTGCACTAGAATCTAGAGGAAACAGAAATGTGTAGTTATTTTAGAGTTTTGACTTTTATCTTGTTCATATAATATCTGTATTCTTATTAAGCAATTTATTGTTTGGGTGATTACTAAAAATTCTGTCATTAAGCCTTTCATGTAAAATGATGCACTTAAGGGTGCGTACATAATATTGTGCACCTTGATTTCCCTGACAGAAAATTTTGTAAATTCAGTCAAAATTAGCTCTTTGAAGCCCAGAGAATAATTGATCCTTTAATCTGGCTGATGTAAAATAGGGTGTATTGCACCACATTGCTTTCCGTATGTTTGTGGAGTTGACTTGTTACACCCTGGCAATGATGCAGTCATTATTCAAAGTTTTTAATTCCCAATTCTAAGAACAGGATCAATCAAATCAACTGGGCATTTAGTCAGTGATAACACATTTGTTAAATTCAACAGCATTTGTATATTGTAAAAAAAATTCTTTCATACCAAGATCAAAGGGGATATAGGTCCTCTGTAGTGTGGTGTGTGAGAAAAACCAATGTTCTTAGGACAACCTTTTTAGTTGTAATAATTACGGTGTAAATTGATGCTCTATATGGTATTCTCCTCAATTGTAATACTTTGCAGGCATTTGAAGGCATCGATGGGATTCTGTCTGGTGTAGCCAGACTATAAATGTATATTACACTTTTATTCATCTCCAACTTAACTGTCTGTAATAATTTTCAAGCAAAATATCCAAATTAAGTGTAAGTCATGTTGTATATTGATCATTTGTCACCATTATATAGATTATTAGAAAGGAATTAAACTAGTCAGTGTTCTGTGCAATGGACTGGACCTCCAGATACCATCCAATCCTCCACAAATCATGTAGCTGGTTTTATTTCAACTATGCAGTGCATCATAACTGCTTAAGATTCTTCTAGATATACAAAAAATTCAATTTTATTGGAACAAGTCTCTAGGTTGTGTTCATTCAGATAAAACATACCTACACTGCTGTGACTGAGTGCTGACAGAAACTTGCATTTGATTTATTACTGTATGTTCTGGTACAGAATTCATTCTAATTTCCTCTATTTATAAGTAAAAGGGCCTCTGTAAGACAAGTTTAAAAACTGTGTGAATCATTGTCTGAGGCCTTAAATTATCCATCTGCAAACAAAAAGAAAGCATTGCATTACTCTTAGGGAGCGTTTAGATAAACACATCATGCAAGTTAGATCAATCTAACTCTACAGGAGATTCTCCCTAACTGCAATCATTGTCATTGTCTTAAATGTCTGGGAAGCCTCCTCAAGTGCAAGTAAGGGGGCACTTCAGACAATTAAACTGATTACAATGAATGCAGTTTAGTGAGAATCCCCCTCAGAAGTGGATCAATTTAGCTGGTATGATGTTTGAATCTAAACACAGTCTTAGCCTAAAAGTAATCTTTGTAGACATAATTCTCAATTTGAAAAAAAAGGGGGATTTTGTCTGATATTGTTTGAAAGCCGTATGGTCATTTCTGGTTGAAAAAGTTTTTTCTTGACTGTCCCAAAAGAATGTCAATTTTATCATTGATTTCTTTGTTAATTACAGAATGACATACAAGTATATATATTTGTATCAATTGTTGATTTATTCTGTATTCATTATTCTGAATTTGTATAACATGTCAAAAAGTATGTCAGATGTTCTTATATTTCACAGATTCCATTAAGGAGGCATTCCACTTTTCCTCTGTTTCTAAGTACTTTCTGAGTATTTTAGAAATTATTGTGCAAATGTCTTTGTGTAAATTTTCAATAAAAATTTAGTTGAAAAAATCTTGCTGTCTTTTATGAATGATTTACACTTGGTTGTTTGACTTAAATTCAGTGGATTGGAATGAGGGTGTGGTGTAAATTACAATACATACCCATTGAACCACCCACATGTCCATTGATCTGAACCCATAATGATAATGCCACTTACCAAAGAGATGAAAAGAGATCTCTTTGCCATGGACAAAATTATGAAATTCACAATTTTGTCCATGCTTTGCACAAAAAAAAAAAAAAAAATCTTACAAAGTTCAAATTTTAATTAAAATGAAGAGAATTACACAATGCCATAATTAGTCAAACTTTCATGTGAAAAATAATTGCAAATACATTTCTCTTTAAGTAAGTATTTAGTAGCAAGTAGATATGACTGTCTTTATTAACATAATGTGGTTTTGAATAGCAGCAAACAAGAAAGCTAAACACAAACGTCATTCTTACACTGCACTTGAAATTGTATTTAAATGCACTGAATGCATTGCAAAAGTAATAAGTACACATATGAAAAATCTTTGATCTCTGGAAAACTGACTAATTCACACCCTGATGGGTATCACGAATGACACTTGGCAACTGCCTAGCCTTGGTGAAACTTCTTCCATTACCCGAGTCCAGACACCACAGTCTTACTGCTACATGTATATGTACAACTTCTACATATAACACAACATTCACTTGTGGACAGTAGAAACTGGACAAGAATATTTTAATAAAATCACTTGTATCACAAAGTACACAAAGTAACAATAAGAAAATGTCAATCTAAATTCTGTCATAGGTAATAGTGTTATTTTAATAAATACATGCCAACTGTACTTAAAATTTAGTCGTAATAATCAACTGTTGTGGTTAAATAGAATCGGATGTGACACTTGCAATTGTCTCTCAAGATTTTTATGTTCTATGAACCATTCCCAGAGATATCGTACTAACTTTGGATCAATCTATCTCGAAGGGGATTCTCACTAAATTGCTATCAACTTAAGCGATTTAAATGTCTGTCACGTCTGCTAAAGCTGTTAGGGGGTAATAAACTACTGGAAGCTGAGAGTGCACAAAAGTTAATTACCCCCTAGCTGATTCAATAGGTGTGACAGATATTAAAGCCGCTGAAGTTGATAGCAATTTAGCCTGAATCCCCATGGATTTAGATCGATCCACCAGGATCGATCTAAGCATGGGAACCCAGTCTTATAGAGGCCAAGAGCAATGGCCAGGCTCTCTCCCTTCACTTTTCAACCTCAAGCCACAATCCAATTATCCACAAAATGTCATATTTAGTATTCCTGCTTGTTCTTTTCCTTTTATATATTAAGAACTGGTGTAATTGGCTGTTGTTTTTTTTTCTCAGAATATTCTGACAGCTTGAGCTCACATTGTTTTCCTGTTTTAAGAATTAAAATTCAACACCACTGAAATCGTTTGGGCAATGTCTCACTTCCTTTCTTGGTTACTGAGTTAGACTCTGTACACAGGGCAATTCTAACTGGTTTGGTTCATAAAAGTATTTCAATTAAACTCCTTCAAGATGATTCTACACAGGGGAGATGATGAAAATGTCATCAAAGTTGCTGTGGGTAAGATTATTAAGTGGTCATTTAGAGCATGCCCCAGGATGTTTTTGGTGCACTTTAATCAAAACTTCGTTACCTTGGGGGTTTGCCCTCCTATTGCTCACCCTATAAACCACAAATGATTCTGGTGTTTGGTCTCTGCACAGTGATCAGTTGCAGTGGATGACCCTTCCTTCCCACAGAAGACATTAAGATGAGGTCACAGAAATATCATGAGTTTAAAAAGAAGCCTGAGCATCCTCTGTATTTCTGTTTTCTGTGTACATTTCTCATTTTCAGCAGTTAATAGTAACTCATTTCTTGTTCTCGGTCCAAGTCAATCTTCATCTTGAGACTTTAATTAAATTTTTTCTTGGAAGCAGAAAATCTTTCCATGTACTGCAACGTGATAAGAATGATTAGCCACAATATATTAATAAAATTCTAGTGTTAAATCTCCACAATGAATGATGGATATATCTACATAATCATTTGAAAATCAAATCCAATATAGTACTATCCCAGGGTCCTATGTAAATGTTAAACATTTATTAACAGATAATTTTTTCAATTGACAAATTATTTCTTGTCTACATATATAATCCATACCTCATCATATCCCTCCAGCTGATGAAATTGTTTCATTTCAAATATATTGCCTTCAACTGCAAGCAGAGAAATCTGTGATTCCTTCATGATTTTTGGAGTCAATTCTGACAGTTCCAGACAATTTTCTTCCAACCTTAAAACCTTCAACCTTGGGCACTCTGCAACAGCTTCTGATAACTTAGATATCTGGAAAAAATACAAAGTAGGGCAAAAAGTAACCAGCTAAGCATTTCGTGAAACATTTGTTCCCATGAAAAGTTGTTGCATAAAATGATGTGGAAAAAGAAAGCCAATCAAAATCAAAATCATGTTACAGTGGTCTGTCAAATAATTTTTCACGTAATATTTAATCATATAAAAATCAAATAGTGTATTGATAACATACAACACTTCCCTAAAATCATATCTGTATAATATGAATTTAAAAGTTACAAAGACACACTATTTGTAATGATATAACAATAAGTATTAAGCATCTAAACTAATTTACCTGGTTCCTATTGAGATTGAGTTCAATAACAGAAAGTGCTTTCACTTGATCTGGAACTTCTCGTATGGTATTGTGGGATAAGTCTACTGAATCTAGAGACTTGAGCTCACACAACTGAACAGGAAATGCAGAGAGTTTATTGTGTGTGAGGGTGAGTGTTTTTAGAGCTGACAATTTTGTAAATGCACTTGGCAGCCTAAATATTTTGTTCATGTCTGCTGATAAAGACTCTAGTTTTTTCAGGTTACCAAACTCTTCTGGAAAACCATCTAAAAGAAACAAGAAATATATATGATTTCCAGGAATATGAATTAGCAGAATCTTAATAGCTATTAGAGCAGACTTCCATGTGTTTAATAACTAATATCTTGCCAAATATTCAATCATAGTTACAAGCTTAAAATTATTTTAAAAAATTCAAGTATTTATTATTCATTATTTTCTCAGTTACGTGTATATACTATATCCTAGTAAATCATCTGTTAAAATTTGGTAATATTACACAGAAGTAATTTATACATGTCATATCAAAAGGTTTAATTTAATAAATCTATATCCATGATGCAACATTTCCAAATTACCTAATCTATTGTCATTTATTGCCAATGCCTTAAGCACATTAAACTGGCCTATAGCTGGTGGTACAGATGGAATCTTGTTGTGGGACAGGTCTAATGTACGGAGATTCTTCGTTAATCTTAGGAGTTCTCCAGGGAACTGGAATTCACAAACATCTGATTCTGTCAACAAGGCAATTAACAATTCTCTTTAAAAATCTTACCATAACAATTGACATCAAACAATAAGCATGGTAAACAAAGTGCTCTCCCCTCCCCTCCTTGAGTTTCAAACATGTAAATTACCAAATTTTGCTGCTAATTTGCAAGAAAGAATTTTATGTTCTTGCAAATTTGCCAAAAATTAGCAGCAATATAATTTTTTCTTGCAAACTCCTTGCCACAAAACAGTTTTAGTTCGCAGCAAATCTGCTGGAAACTTCTCACTTCGTTAAGGGTTTTATCATTCGGTTTGAAGGCTTTAACCACTTGTTATAGTTTATTTTTGCATTGTATTGGATTAATGTGGCAGTCTAAGGTTGTCCTAGGTGGTTTTCAAGTTTATGCACCGGGTTTTAATATCATTTAGCGATTTTACGACAATCGTTTACTATCCAAACAAGGTGACAGCCGAGCGTGGTTTTATCTAAAATCTAAGATATTTAATAGGAGTGCTGCTGAGCAATGTCAGGCGTGGGAGTATCTGGTCTACAATGCAGTGGAGTGGACCGTGGTACAGCAGTACATCTATGATCTACTTGCACAAGATCACCAGTAAATAATAATAATAATAATGGTACCTCACTAAATCCTTGCTTGCTAAGGTTGCAAGCGCCCGTTTTTTCTGCAGTGTCAATGTGTGGTTTGATAGAATTACCCATATTCCTAAACACACTACTTCCACATACAGACTAGTATCAGCCAAGAAAGATACTTTTATTTTGGTTTGCTTCGTAAATAGGGTGTCTTAAAACCAAGACAAGCTTCACCGCATAGTCTAAAATTGATTTTATGTTGAAATTGCTACTCGAGCCGAAATTCCTATTAGAGCATTTAATGTTAATGATAAATTAACAATGCATGTAGTAGAACTTTCCTTTCAGTTATTTTAACATTTAGAATCTTATCTTGATACACACTGCCATCTATGAGCCATTGCACCAAATGAAGCTCTCATTCTATAGCTTCTCCGAATGAAAAGGGCCTTACTTGCGAAAACACTTCAGCAAGTCTATTGGTCTGCTGGTATGTGCGTTTGTTTGTGATCACATTTGTGGAGGCCACAATTTTAGAGATTTTATTTCATTTTTTTAGATTGATCATAACAGACCAAGGACGAACAGATTTGATTATTCCAAAAAGTTCCAAATTACACGGTATACATGTACGCATCAGTTTTAGCAGAAATAATGACTGTTACTCCTTATATAATAATAATAATAATAATAATAATAGCAAACGGAGTGGAGAATTCATATTAGTAAATGAATTTGGCTCTCAATTTGAAAGTAAAGAATACATATTTCATTAAGCCCAGCAATAATTTAACATTTTCAGTCCACCTTTATTGCCTAAACTAATTTAAATTTGGGTGACAAGTGCATCTTTTTGGGAAGTATTTGTTCACACTCTAGTTAAAAGATCTATTCAGTTTTTGCTCTTATCTTAACCCGCACACGTACATCACGCGATGTCTTTTTATGTCTACCGTTCTCAATCATGAGTGTGTCCGGTGTATGATAAGAACAGCGAAATTTGGAGAAGGCAAATAACGCCCTGTCACATCTAAATTCAGCGGCATGTTATAGCTGTAGCGCACTTTTGGGAGAGTGTAAAAATCACCAGCCAGGCCAGGGATCGAACCCGGGACCTCTCGCTAACAGGGCGTGAGCTATTCAGCCGTTCTACCTCGTATCTGACACTACACTTCCCCCCACCCCCCACCCTCCACTCCTCCCTCCCATATACAATGCGAATATTAGCCTCTTTATCATAACCTTTGTTATCCTTGTTAACTTTAGCCGCAATAGTTTTCCAAGCTTGTTTGGGTTCTATTTCAGACCTTCTGATTTGCTATTTACACTGTCCCTGTGCACCCTTCTTTGCTTGCTATGCAGAGAATTGTGTATTTAGATTCAAATAAATGCTGTATGAATTTTCTAATTGGAAATCATTTAAAGTTTTGTACTTCAGTTGTTTTAAAATTTATAAAGCTTCACTCCACCATGGCAGTTCTTGCAAGGAGTTGCACATTTTACTACGAAGCGACTTTATCATATTATTGGTGACTTTATGTACATATTTATGATAATTTCTACAACCAACATTTTCATTTTGTAAATATACACCTATATCAAAAATCTCCTTATTAAAACTTTCCATTAAATCATCTTCTTTTTTTATTTTCCCAATACATTCGTGTTTAATGAAAAACACGTGCGGTATATTCAGACAGCAGATACAAGACTTAGATCGAAAATGAAATATTTATTTTATACTGTGCGTTTACATCAAAGTGTAAGCTTTATTCTTTAAAAGTTTCAAGAGGAGTTATGAGTTGTTTAATAATAATAATAAGTTATTTGCTATAATCGCAACCCAAATGATCAGAATCATCAAAGGCAATTGTGAAAAATCTAGCATATTGGAGAACGTGTCGCTTGATACTAGAATACCAAGCTACACCCATTGTGTGTTATGCATGTAAAATTATCATCTATAATGCAAACGCACATGATGCAGCTATCATGTTGTTTATCATACTTGATAGAAATTTATTAAAGGTTATTAACCCTTTATTATCATCATCCAGATACCGAAAATTAGTTATTTTCCTTTATCTAATTATTCGATAATATATCTATCTTTGTGTTGAATTAAAACGATGAAAAAACCTCGAAAATATAAAATATCGGCGTTTATATTTATTTCGTTGCCATGTATAAGCAAAGGCAACTCAAAGCTTTAATCGTCAATTTAACATCTTTCTATTTCGAGGTGAAAAAGCAATAGGTATGGGACGTAACTTCATCCCCGAACACGATTTAATCACAAAAATTAGCACAGTTCACTATGAGAGTGTAGGCTACAACCCCGTCATTTTGGTTTAAATGTGTTTGTTATGGAGTTATGAGCCCCTACAGATTTTCATCAAACGAAGGCATTATTTTACTTTATCAACGATAACATCTTAACTAAGACTTTTAAGAAAAATCGCTGGCAGGATTTGGAGTACTAAATGGTGCCATTAAATCAGCGTTAAAACGGTGATCGTTGTTGTTCAGGTTAAAAAGAATTTTGAGAAACCGATTTTTTAGTTTTTACCCCAAAATCGTAATTATGACGTCTCCTGTAAGATTATATATGTGTAAATGTTAATTGATTTAGTCACTGAACACTAACATTTATTAATTACCCAAAAGTATGTATGTAAGGCTGTAAATAAGGAGTTTTAGACAAAGGGTGACAATATCGTTTTCATTGTTTTAAATCAGCACAAAGGTAGATGCATTATTGAATAATTAGATGCAGGAAAAAACTCATTTTCGGTATCTGGATGATAATAAAGGGTTACAATAACCTTAATAACACAATACCATCTTGTTCTCGTTCACCATAAAACTTTGAGCATTCAGAGAGATGAACGTAAAGCAAATAGGGGAGACCGGGGCTAGTTGGACCCCGGGGTAAGTTGGCCCCCCGTCAATTTATGAAAAAGTAACTACGAGGTAAAAAAATTGGCCACATACTCTTGCAAAGTGACCGTAGCCTACAATGCTAAGGAAGTGTCGGACGTTAAAAAGTTTTACTTAAGCGGTGAGTCGAAATAAACGATTTTTGCACCTAAAAGTAATTTTGTTTAAGATATTTAAAAATCTATTTTCATAGGCTTTTGATCGAATATAAGATATGTATAGGGCATTAAACTGAAGCTCATTGTTTCAAGTTTCACACAGATGTATCATCGTTGCTCATTCTAGCACCATAAATGGCTACCATCCTTTAAAATAAATAATGTGCACCCGGGGCTAGTTGCCCCCCTTGACTCGGGGCAAGTTGGACCCTCATATTACCCACAAACCTTTGCGAGCAACGCTGTTTGNTGCGTTGTATTGGATTAATGTGGCAGTCTAAGGTTGTCCTAGGTGGTTTTCAAGTTTATGCACCGGATTTTAATATCATTTAGCGATTTTACGACAATCATTTACTATCCAATCAAGGTGACAGCCGAGCGTGGTTTTATCTAAAATCTAAGATATTTAATAGGAGTGCTGCTGAGCAATGTCAGGGGTGGGAGTATCTGGTCTACAATGCAGTGGAGTGGACCGTGGTACAGCAGTACATCTATGATCTACTTGCACAAGATCACCAGTAAATAATAATAATAATGGTACCTCACTAAATCCTTGCTTGCTAAGGTTGCAAGCGCCCGTTTTTTCTGCAGTGTCAATGTGTGGTTTGATAGAATTGCCCATATCTCTAAACACACTACTTCCACATACAGACTAGGAGCATCAGCCAAGAAAGACACTTTTATTTTGGTTTGCTTCGTAAATAGGGTGTCTTAAAACCAAGACAAGCTTCGCTGCATAGTCTAAAATTGATTTTATGTTGAAATTGCTACTCGAGCCGAAATTACTATAAGAGCATTTAATGTTAATGATAAATTAACAATGCATGTAGTAGAACTTTCCTTACAGTTATTTTAACATTTATAATCTTATCTTGATACACACTGCCATCTATGAGCCATTGCACCAAATGAAGCTCTTATTCTTTCTATAGCTTCTCCGAATGAAAAGCAATCGGCAATCCTCGGCTCATTCCGCAAGCTCCATCATTGTCGAGTGCGGAGACATCCGAGTAGTTCCGAGTGAATGAAAAGGGCCTTACTTGCGAAAACACTTCTGCAAGTCTATTGGTCTGCTGGTATGTGCGTTTGTTTGTGATCACATTTGTGGAGGCCACAATTATAGAGATTTTATTTCATTTTTTTAGATTGATAACAGACCAAGGACGAACAGATTTGATTATTCCCAAAAATTCCAAATTACACGGTATAGGCCTATACGCATCCGTGTTAGCAGAAATAATGACTGTTACTCCTTATATAATAATAATAATAATAATAATAATAATAATAATAATAATAGCAAACGGAGTGGAGAATTCATATTAGTAAATGAATTTGGCTCTCAATTTGAAAGTAAAGAATAGGCCTACATATTTCATTAAGCCCAGCAATAATTTAACATTTTCAGTCCACCTTTAGGGACCTATTGCCTAAACTAATTTAAATTTGGGTGACAAGTGCATCTTTTTGGGAAGTATTTGTTCACACTCTAGTTAAAAGATCTATTCAGTTTTTGCTCTTATCTTAACCCGCACACGTACATCACGCGATGTCTTTTTATGTCTACCGTTCTCAATCATGAGTGTGTCCGGTGTATGATAAGAACAGCGACATTTGGAGAAGGCAAATAACGCCCTGTCACATCTAAATTCAGCAGCATGTTATAGCTGTAGCGCACTTTTGGGAGAGTGTAAAAATCACCTGCCAGACCAGGGATCGAACCCGGGACCTCTCGCTAACAGGGCGTGAGCTATTCAGCCGTTCTACCTCGCATCTGGCACTACACTCCCCCCCCCCCCACCCTCCACTCCTCCCTCCCATATACAATGCGAATATTAGCCTCTTTATCATAACCTTTGTTATCCTTGTTAACTTTAGCCGCAATAGTTTTCCAAGCTTGTTTGGGTTCTATTTCAGACCTTCTGATTTGCTACAGACTTGACATTTAATATGGAATATTTCAGTTTCGAAGGTATGCCTAGTTAACAGTGCGCTCTTTTTTCGAAATTTCCGATCTCATATAAGATATATGAACGGAGAAGTGGGTAGTCAGGTGTATCGCTACCAATTAACTGACTACCATGTCTGTTGCGCTGCTGCATTATGTAATATGCAGTGATTTAATTGGGGGTGCTCCTTTGGGTTGGTCAAAGCTAGGCTTTGGCAAAGCATGGTTCTGTCAAAAAAGTATCCATATGTCGGCAACTACTGAATAGAAGAATTTGAAATTTTGCATGCAAGCGGTCGGTTTTGCAGAGCGTTAAATGAGCCAAGCAGTGTATTACAGAATTGTTAATCTGTGGCAGAATGCAGCGAAAAAGACAGACATTGCCAGACAGATTATAGCGCCAATTGGAACGGTCCGCACAGTTTTATAGAGTAATGCCCAGACTGATGTACCTACACAGAGTCCACACCCAATGTATTGAGATCTTACCACCAGGGTACAGGACCCACTGTCTTTCGGGATACTCTGCTGCAACTAAACAAAATCCACCCAGTCTGTTCAGAATGAGGGGCAACTTGCCACCAAAACGCGTTTTTCAAGGCCCCTAGCGTACACCAAACTGATTTTAGCAGGTAAGAATACCAGACGACCTCCAAGGTACCCATTGTAAACAGCAAAACATCATCGTCTGTTTCTCTAATGAATTGGGGACCATGACCGTTTCTGGATAGAACACTGAAACCGCGTGGCTTTCTTTATTGAGATCAGATTTCACCTGCACCGTCCAACTAGTCAAAACAGAGTTTAAAGACATCCAGAAGAGACCTACGACGATGCGTTTGCCGCGTCTAAAATGATTAGGGTCGTTGACAGCGTCAGTATTTGGAGTGGATACCACATCGGTGCCAAAACACCAATGGTAGTCATCGACGAAAACCTGCACCAGATCAAATAAAGGAAAAATCTGGGAAACACTTGACTATCATTTGATAAGGGGCACCTTAGGAACAATTTTAGGTTGCACAGTGAGATTGGCGGTTCACACAGAGCACTTTTAATAGCAGATAACTTACAGAACCAAGGGAATGAGCAGCTGCCTTGGTCATCAAAGTCGGGACATTTGAACCACATAGACAATATGTGGGTAGGCCATTACTCGCCGAATCAACGGGCTACATGTTCTACAACAAAACTGGGCCAGTTGGACAAGTTTTGACCGATGCCTGGAATGTTATTCCAGATTGAACTCTAAAAAAACTTTCCCAAGAAATGCTTTGTCGCTTGAGAGCGCTGGTAGCAGCCAGAAGAGGTCAGGTGTAACAGCGTCCGTTGCTATGACTAGACGCTGGCATGAGGGTCATTACTGGAGCGTGTAACTTATTTACAGACGATAATTTGGAAAATATGTAGATCTTAAATATCTCTTTTAATGAACGTCGTATGACATAGAATAGACAATGTATTTCTGTTTGCTTCACTGGCGAATTCAAGCAATGAACTGATGTCACCATGAGATCAGAAAGATAATAAAAAGTTATTAAAACACGATTTTAATCCTTATTTTCATTTATCAGTCAGCAAAATAGGAAAAAACTGATGAAAAATGATTTGGAAAAAAATATTCCATATTAAATGTCAAGTCTGTATTTACACTGTACCTGTGCACCCTTCTTTGCTTTCTTTGCAGAGAATTGTGTCTTTAGATTCAAATAAATGCTGTCTGAATTTTCTAATTGGAAATCATTTAAAGTTTTGTACTTTAGTTGTTTTAAAATTTATAAAGCTTCAATCCACCATGGCAGTTCTTGCAAGGAGTTGCACATTTTACTACGAAGCGACTTTATCATATTATTGGTGACTTTATGTACATATTTATGATAATTTCTACAACCAACATTTTCATTTTGTAAATATACACCTATATCAAAAATCTCCTTATTAAAACTTTCCATTAAATCATCTTCTTTTTTTATTTTCCCAATACATTCGTGTTTAATGAAAAACACGTGCGGTATATTCAGACAGCAGATACAAGACTTAGATCGAAAATGAAATATTTATTTTATACTGTGCGTTTACATCAAAGTGTAAGCTTTATTCTTTTAAAGTTTCAAGAGGAGTTATGAGTTGTTTAATAATAATAATAATAATAATAATAATAATAATAATAATAATAATAAGTTATTTGCTATAATCGCAACCCAAAGGTTGAAGTTTTACAATGTATCATAAATAAAATCATAAGTTATTTAAAAGTAACTAAAAATTATAAACTAAAAGACCAAAACTTTAAAACAAGACTTATAAGACAATTTGGAGTGTATTTTACATGAAATTTAAAAGACGTGCATTATAAAGGATGATTTAAAACGCTCCGTTTTCACTCTTGGTATTAAAAATTTGTTGCTGACCCTGAGATTTCTTGGATTCTTTTCTTTAAACAGATGGTGTAACTTATTAAAATTCTTGATTTTTGTAAAATAGTTCTTAAATAAAACGTCTCTTGTTCCCCTCAGAGAGGTGAGATAACTATAGCCTGTAGGGCATCCTTTTAAGTATAAAATGGGTAAATAATTCTAAGAGCTCTCACATTGTTCGGCTGTAAGACCAGGCCCCGACACAGGGCATGCATATTCTAGGACTGATCTAATTATTGATTTACACAGCTTCAAGGATATATATACGAAAATGACACCTACGGATTTTGTAAATACGGCGCGAAGCAAGTGTCGGGGACAATTTTGTCCTGCAAACTAACTGTATTACGTATGCTTTCAATAAAACCCTGGTGTTTGCGAGTTGTCTGGCCTGGTAGGTAAGCACGGTAACAGCGAGGCAAAAACGAACGAGAGAACTAGCAACAACTTCGTGAATTCTTTAAAATTTCATTGCCTCGAAAATGACATCTTACAAAGCAATCAATGGGCAAATGATCAGAATCATCAAAGGCAATTGTGAAAAATCTAGCATATTGGAGAACGTGTCGCTTAATAGGCCTACTAGAATACCAAGCTACACCCATTGTGTGTTATGCATGTAAAATTATCATCTATAATGCAAACGCACATGATGCAGCTATCATGTTGTTTATCATACTTGATAGAAATTTATTAAAGGTTATTAACCCTTTATTATCATCATCCAGATACCAAAAATTAGTTATTTTCCTTTATCTAATTATTCGATAATATATCTATCTTTGTGTTGAATTAAAACGATGAAAAAACCTCGAAAATATAAAATATCGGCGTTTATATTTATTTCGTTGCCATGTATAAGCAAAGGCAACTCAAAGCTTTAATCGTCAATCTAACACCTTTCTATTTCGAGGTGAAAAAGCAATAGGTATGGGACGTAACTTCATCCCCGAACACGATTTAATCACAAAAATTAGCACAGTTCACTATGAGAGTGTAGGCTACAACCCCGTCATTTTGGTTTAAATGTGTTTGTTATGGAGTTATGAGCCCCTACAGATTTTCATCAAACGAAGGCATTATTTTACTTTATCAACGATAACATCTTAACTAAGACTTTTAAGAAAAATCGCTGGCAGGATTTAGATTACTAAATGGTGCCATTAAATCAGCGTTAAAACGGTGATCGTTGTTGTTCAGGTTAAAAAGAATTTTGAGAAACCGATTTTTTAGTTTTTACCCCAAAATCGTAATTATGACGTCTCCTGTAAGATTATATATGTGTAAATGTTAATTAATTTAGTCACTGAACACTAACATTT